GATCACAAATGCAATGCTGGACTGCAGCAGCTCGATTTTCACCTGCTCAAGGTACTCTTCAATACATTACTCATCCTCTGCTGCCATCGTATGGCCATTGCATTTATCGCCATGGCTGTACATGCCCACCTCAAAACCTCTCTGACCAACTTATTATTAATAGGCGATGAGAAGTAGGCTTCGATTATCTGTGTCACAGTCAGGAGGAAACTCTGGTAATCTTTACTCTTTTTTTTTGTTGCTGTTTTAACAGAAATATTGCCGGAGGTCATGGGTCTTTGCACGTGAGTAACTCATTGCCCTTTAATTGGAAGGGTGACTGCAAAGCAGCTAGCGGGGAGAGATTGTTCTCGATGTGGAATCTGCATTTATGCATTCATTCTGAGTGCAACCATGTAATCAGGTCAACAAGGTGACACTCTGCAGTGGTGTAGGTGGAAGATTGGCAGCACGCTATTAGGAACTGGGAGAAGCTAAAGAGGAGAGACACATTTATGTTATCTCTGCCTCCAGATGGGATCCCAACCTACTGTGCATTTCTGGGTAGTCTTTATCAGAGCTCTGCACATCACGAAAATGACTTTTAAAACTCTCAGCCAGAGAGTACTCTCCACCCCAACTTGACTTATACTTCTTAGGAGAGAACTGTCTTAGACCTCTCCAAGTCAGTTTCCTTCTTTTTGCAAGAGTAAGAGTGCAACATACCTTGGAATAAAGAGAATTATCAAGGCAAAGGGCAGCTGCACTGGCTGAAGTTGGAGTGAAGAAACAACTCATAAAGTCTCAGTGCATCCAGACCCTTGTTTGTGGATTGTGTGCGCACTTCTACCAGTAAGCTGACTGTTGGGCTTGATCAGGGACATCTGAATTGCTTGAAGACTCCAGTGGGTGATCTTTGGTTGAAGAACTGTCACCAAAATTGGGGAGTAGAATACAAACTCCAGAACCCAAGAAAAAAACAAGAAAGAAACAAATGCAAGGGTTCTCTGCTTGAGCTCAGTGTTTTTTACAATGTCTTGGGAGGACTCCAGGACGTCAGTACTTCTGCTGGCCAGCATTCTGTTGCTGATCTTGCAAAGATTGGTAAGAGGAGTAAATACTGTGTTTTATTTGACATGATGAAATCATTTATCCTACTGAAAAGAAAAATTAAATTAAATACAATCTTTTAGGAGCTTTGGATTAATTCTCGTGGAATTGTTCCTCTCCTTTTCCAGCCTGTCTCGGTTGAAATTCTGCCAACAGCAGTGTGCTGTTGTATGGGACCATACTGCTCTACTTACAACTTGTGAATTTTAGCTTCCCCTCAAAGAAATCACAGTATCATTGAGAAATAATTGGAATTCTTATATGGTTTGTGGACCAGACTGACTTCGGAGGCTAGGAAATGTATTGGATAATTAGTGTGTCCTTTCACAAATAAAATATATTAGAGATTATATTCTTTTTATAGCACTGGGTTATGTAAAACCTTACTCATGTTTTTAATGTTTATTTACATGACAAGTCTATTTGGCCTCACTGAGACAGAGTGGACAAATGAAAGTTTTGGCACAGAGCTGCTGTTTTCTCCTTACTGAACATCCTGCTTTGGAGCCAGAATATGTCCATGGGACATAAGACAGAAAGAAGAGATTCACCTGTGAGATGCGTCCAGGCTGCACTGACATAATGTTCTTCTTATTCTTTCTTTCTTCAAAATCTCTCACAAACCATTAACAGAATATTGAACTTCATGCACTGTAGGTCTGTCCTATGGGCCCCATCCCCTTGACCTTTGAAGGGAAACTGTCCATAAGTCTTCAGTGCCATTGATCTCCATAAAATAAGAACTATAGCATTCTGTTTGTTATTTGCTGAAATGGAGCTTGAACCAAAGGTTGCTCATAAAGGGCTTGTCAAAGATGCCTTCTTTCTATGCCTTTTCTGTCAATCATGAAAAACTGAAGGGAGAAGGTAGGGGAAAGCCTGGCTTCCATTTACAGAGATATAGAAAAAATCACACCTATGATGTTAACTATCATTTGCTTTTGCAATACAGGCAGCGTCCCACCTTATGATGGATATGGCTCTACATTCCTTTGATGACCAGTACCTGGGTTGCAGAGAGCAGATGATGGAAGAACTGGAGAGGGGAGACTACTTCCAGAAGGAAATAGCTGCTAGTAAGAACTATTTGAACCTCTGGAAGAAGGCTCAGGAAGCTTTGCTGAAGAGCCCTGTAGGCCTCCTGAGGGAGATGCATGATAGTCATGCCACCGTCCTCATGGCTTACACCATGAATTCTTCCCTGCACTCTCAGCTGAACTGGGCCACATCCACAGCAGGACGGTCTCCAGAGCATTACAGACACAACTTCAGCTATAAATATTTTCACTTTTACCTAACGACAGCTATCCAGATAATGAAGCAGTGGCAGAGCAGCAAGGACAGCGTGGGGAAACGTCACTGCTACCGGGTGCACAGGGGTGTGAAGGACTTATATATTGAGGCTGCAGTTGGCAGCATGGTGAGATTTGGCCGTTTCACCTCCACCTCTCGCCTCTGGAATGAAGCCCAGAAATTTGGGAATGAAACTTTGTTTACGGTGACAACCTGCCTGGGAGCAGCTATGCAAGGCTTTTCTTACTACACATCTGAGAAGGAAGTCCTCATTCCCCCTTATGAGATATTCCTTGTCAAAAACTTCTTTCGGACACAGCATGGTAACCGGCTCCACCTGCATTCCGTGGGGAACTACAGCAAGTACCGCTGCCAGCTCTTGGAAGGTACTGTATATACCCCTTTGAGCAGGTGGGATGCAGGCAGCCTGGTCTCCAGTAGCTCCACCAGCTCACACCAGATGTATCTACAGGGGGCCACCTGCTGCACAGCAGGCCTCAGGGCACTTTGCAGCCTCTGCTTATGTTATCTGCTATTGCAAAGATGCTGCGGGACACATGCATTGTGTCCCCAGCCTCCCTTAATGCAAGGGCAGATGAGATTTGCTGGCAACTTGAGTTCAGACACATCAGGCCTCAGGACTACAAAGGACTTTAGTGCAGTACTACTCTGCCAAGCTCAAATAAATGTAAACAAAACTACCCTGCTTCATTCCTGTTCTCCTTCCTATGGCAGAAGACAGGAGAGGTATTGACTGGCAAAACACACATATCAGTTTCCTGGCTAAAGAGATAACTCTTCTGTTGTATGACCTCAGTGGGTTTGTTCCACAGCCCTGTCCTAACAGTGCACCACTAATATGGGATCCTGCTTTTGTCCCTTTGGAATGAGAATTTTTACTCAGCACTAAGCCAGAATAGTAGGTAGACTTGAGGAAATGCTTTTTTAGGGCAAAGGTGCTTTTAGAAAGGGCAGGAAGTCCTAGGCAGTCAAAGGAGACTTAAATGACTGCTCTCTCAACTTTCTTTCAGCTTCAAGAATCAAGAACAGTGGATCTACTGCCTCTGCCTCCGTCATTCTTTTTATTGTAGTTGGAATTTTATTGTGCTGGGCCAGGTAATGACTGACTCTCTGGCTACATCCAGAAATATACACTTGAATAACAGACAAGAAAAAACAGTTGGGTGAACTGCTTGGCTTTCTGAGCATCTCCATGAAAGTTTGATGCTGCCATTCCATTGGAAATCCTGTGTCAATAAACGCAGAACCTTTGAAACCTGAGAAATGCTAGCATTAGAAATGAGAGCACTTAGGTAATGTGAGTGTCTTTGTTTTTTGGGAGGACTGAAATGAGTTGCCAGATACTCAGTATTTCTGACATCTGATATAGACACACGCAATGGCAGAGATCATCATGTAATTATTTAAATGTAGTAGCATGCCCTAGCAAACTGAACAGCTGCTGCTACAGAAATCCTGAAACATGTTTGCCTGCACAGTTTGAACAGATTTTATGATTATTATTTTACGATTAGCTTGTTCTGTATGTATATTTCACACCACATTTTTGTTTCCTTTGCTTTACAATTCATTGCAAATAATTGAGTGACGGAACTTTATTATTATTCCTAATTGCTGAGAGACACTAAGTACACATTTCAAAAAGGACTGGGAAGATTAGAAACAGCTGTCACAGGTACGTCTTGAATGTGTGCAGTCAAGCTTGCTCAAACTCCTTCCTATGTGAAAGTTAACGGAATCAAGGTGGACAAGGTTGGGACATTCGTGTCTCTTGCAACTTTTCTGTTATTGCTGGGATGCAGTTTTCAATCATTTTAACAAAGATTTGGAATGCTTCACACGGCGGCCTCAGCACCCTGAAAGCCTCCTCTAAGCAGTCAGCTGCTACTTTCAGGCTTTTCTTTATGGACCTATGTCCTCGGAGGAGGGTCTGTATGAAAGCAAAAAGCGAAGAGTTGGAGGATACAGAACGAAGCTTGAGCTGTTGTGATGTTTCACCTGAGGAGGAGCTGTCTTCTGTAGTACTTGGTGTCCCATTCTGTTGCAGCATCTTAATGACATCAGCATAGTCCATGAGAAGTTCTGATACGTGGAGGGATAAAGCAGGCGAACTCAGTAACTGCTCCATAGCAGACTCGACTGTGCCAGGGAAATTATCATGTTTTAACAACACTGCAACCAGTGCGCCCAAGATACTTCCTATAATCTCCTTATAATGATCATAGACATCTTTTACTGCAGCCATTTTTTCCTGTAGAGAGATGATGCGACCAGTAATTTTAGCACACAGTCTTTGCTTCATGCTTTCCTGTACATCTCTGTCTCTTGTTTCCATTGTGGCTTGCATCTCTTTTAAAGCACTGACCAGCAACTGCAGGTTCTCTTTAATGCTGAAGTTTTCTTTTACTGTCATGGTGGGGAAGTTGGTACCAAGCTGGTGATTGAGGATCTGGAATATTGTATTAGTTGAAGAGACATAAATGTACACTAATTCATACAGATTCTGGCAGGCCTTCAGCAGCCTTTCTTTGTCACTGCTAAAACCAAGGTGGGCTAACATTTCTGAAGGAGGTGTCCGGCTCTGAAAAGCAAACAGAGGAAATCCAGATGACAAAGAGGGAGAAATACAAATATTTTCAGCTAGAATGTCACATTTTTGAAATCAATATTACAAATTATCAAACCACCTTACTCTCCCCACAAGACCTCAGTGTTAGAAAAAAAAAAACAGAAAAAGCTCTTAGTCAACCTTACCAAAATGGACAGCAAAATATGGTTTCAGAAGCTGCAGGTGTGGTTATTCTTATGGATGCAGGAGTTCTGAAACTGACCCTCAGCATGTCATCTGAAAAGCAATAGTAGAGGAGATGAAATAGCAGATGAATTACTTTCACCTTTGATATCTATTGGTAAAGTTGTCTAAAGTTGTCTAAGTCCTCTCAAACAATCTACATTACAACATCCCTAGAACTATAATCCTTCAGTTTGCATATAGTAGTGGGTATACACAAAATTAAACATATTACAGGAGTCTTCACATGTCCTACACTTTGGGCTTTTTTCTGTTGTTCTGAGAACAGTGAGTTATACCATCCCCTTACAGCAATGGCTGTAAATTCTTCTGCCATAGGCAGATGGATTCAGCCTTTGTTAGGATGACCTAACAATTGTGAACTAGTGTGAAATAAATTGTAATGTGTTAAAATTAAAAGAAAAGGAAAATGAGGAAGAAAATGAGGAGAACTCAGATAAACATCACATAATAAAATTAATGGCAAACAGGCAGGCAGCAGGACCCAGCTGAAGCCCAGGCTCTGGATCCCTGACTCATCACATGCCGCTGGAAACCACCAGAGAAACACAGTGGAAACAGGATGAGATCACTGCCCTGTACACATTCAGCTGTTTGAAAGAGCACTTGGGCACAACCAGGTAGGCAGTCTGAATATTTAACTCAAAAAGCCTCTGGGAAAAAATATACCTGGAGTTGGAGAAATAGACAGAAATATGGAAATGTGTGTGGCCTGTCTAACTCTACAAAGTGAATGTGAATAAAGCGTCAATGTGAAGAATAAGAGATAAGTTACATTTAAGGGACATAAAATCAAAAGAAATCATTGGAATCTGAAAGAATCATGCTTAAAAATAGATGCTATCAGTATTCTCCATAGCTTTCTAGTAGGTAAAATGTTCATTGAAACGTTCTTTCTCTTAGAACATTTTGTCTTTGCAGCTTGTACAAATGGGGATTAAGAAATGATCTTTCAACCTAGCATCAGCAAAGTGGAAGGTATTAATATCACACTGAGCCAGAGTACAAGCCAACAGCATCCCAGAAGCATAAGGAATCGTACCTTGAGCTGGCAGGACTTTTTGTTTCCCTAAGTCAAAACCTTTTACTGTATGTAACCTTTGCTTCCTCTAGCCTTAAGAAAGATAAGTTAAAGAGTTTATTCTCTTAGCAGAGCTACAAGGTAAGTGTCTGAAATGTCAACATGTACTGTGAATGTCAACAATGTACTGTGCAAAATACTGCGGGAAAAATCACGAGAGAACTGTCTTGTAGTTCAACACTAACATCATTTTACCAATCTACTATTGCATATGCATAATTGCATATTGTTAGCTGGCTTTGTTGCTCTGAGCATGTTCATAAGTCTCATAAAGTCCTTTTTGAATAATTTGGTTAAGGATACATAACAGTGTTTAAGATTTATGGATGTACAAGCTATGTCTTGGGATTTGATTTGCCAAGCATAAGAACTAGTGAGGCAGAGACAAAGCAGTCTACATTTCACTGCTTATTAAGGGATGGGATTATGGGTATCAAACAGAGCAAGAACCTTCTTTTCTCTCTTGAAGTAGTTTGTTCCTGAAGAATGGCACTGAGTGACCTCCTTTACCCAGAAAACCCCAGGAGACGACAAGAACTGATCCATCTGCACCGGGAATTGCTTGACTGCATGTCCATGAATTTCCATGCAACAAATGAGTTGGCTGGAGTTCTGAATGCACACCTGGGGTGTACTATCACCCACATCAAGATGAGAGAGAGCAGCACTGTCAAAGAAAACTGTGATATTATCATTCAAGCGATGCGTGAGATTCAGTGTCAAGTACAGAAGATTGATAGTGACATGAGGGAGAAGCTGGAGCCTGTGCTGTACCAGAAGCTGTACGATATCAAAGAGCCTGAGTTGGAGAAAATTGCAATAGCCCATAAAGTTTTTTCCATTGTTCTTGGAGAAGTGACTTCAACTGCTGGGATGGTAGCTGTCAAACTGCTTAGCTCCAACCTTATCACTATCACTGTCTGCAAACTCATCAGCCTCCTTGCACAGATCGGGGCATCTGTTCTTGGAGGAATCAGCATTACCATCCTTGGGCTCGGCATGGAAATGATTCTCCATGCCATTCTGGGAGCTGTAGAGAGGAACCAGCTGCTGGCAGCTGTGAGGAGCTATGAGGAGCACCTGGCTGAGTTTAAAGAAGCATCAGAAAAATACCAGTGCGCCATACGTGAAGTGACTTCTTTGGTCAGACATCAAGTTCAGTGAATGGAAAGGCAACACTTTAAATACACGCCACTTTTTCTTCACCTGTTTTCCAGAATGGATCGTAGATGAAATGCTATTGGTACTACTGACAGTAATAAGCACTGCTGGAGCAGAAGTGGTGAGAAAGTACAGTTTTTCTCTTCCAGAGTTTCTCCATCAAAATGACATCATAACAGAAGAAAATGATTTCAGCAAAACAACCATATAATCACCTGAAGAATTTACCAGGATGGCTGTTACCATGATCTCTTGATGTGGATTTGTGCTAAATCTGACAGGCTGAATTCCCCATTCATAGAAGCACTTACAAGGACTAGCTAAAGCACACGTAACTCCTATTTCCTGTGCCTTCTTGCCTGAGAAGCCAGCCAGAGATCTTTATATAAACTCTAATGCCAGCAGATTAACAGATAGAAAAATCATGGGCCTACAGGCCCAAGAGTTGAGAGAACCCAGCTGCAGTGCTCCTGATGTATCTAGCTGTGAGAAACATCATGTTATCAGTATTGTCCTGCTCCTGCCCACTCACAGGTAGATGCTTCTGTGCACACTTGCTACTTTGTTGATCAAATGGCATTATATGCTTACACAAGGATTTGTAAGATTACAGCCCTATTAATGCGCTAAATTTACTTACAAGAGCTTCACGAGTCACCAGTGTGGGACTGCCAAAAATACTCTAATTCCATATTTCACAACTTACCACCAAATGGCCTTATTTTGCAGCCTTTCAGAACAAAGCTAAAAGCAAGAGCATGATTTGCTGTCAATCTCTGATTTGCTGTGGTTTGCTTTTTTTCTTTGAAAAAAAGAATATATATATATATAGAATTAGGAATTAATAAAAATATATCTAAATATTCTCAGTGCTCTCTTTCCTGCACTTGATTTTTTTTTTTAATTATCATAAGAAATAAATCTCAAACCAAATCAGGAAAAAAAATATTGAAATCCTTCATTATGGATGCAGATTATAAATTCTTCATACATGCTTGTTAACACTCAGCATCAAATGTTGGTTAGATAGTGCATGCAAAAATGAAGAGACGGGTGAGATTACATCAAGGAAGCTGTCCACTGTCATCTTCCAATCTGTTTTGGTGTTGTGTATATATATATGCATATATATATATATATATATATATATACAATTTTTTTTTTTTTTTTTTTCCTACTATTCCCACTTTATTATTTCTTTTTTCCTCTTTTGTTTTCACTAACGTGGTAGCCACTAGATGGCAATGCAGCTGCTGGCTCTCAAGAGGCAAAGTTCAAATGCCAGAGAGGCCGCTGCTGAATTGATAAAACTGGGACCAGCACAAGCCACAGGCTGGGCAGTGTGACCCAGGAGAGGCAACTTAGAGGAAGCAAAAAAAGCCTGCCTTACCAAGACATAAGCTTTTGTGTTGGCTTGCTGACCCAAAGCGTCTTGTTTAATGTGTGATGTAGCCTCACTCCTGACCTGTACAGCAGTCAGTTTAGGGGCAGCTGTTCAGAGGCAAGAGGCTGTACAAACTGTCCAGCTGCAGAAGCAGTGCCATTTTGAGCGTTGCAGAGGCAGGAGTTCCTCATTCCTGCTGTTTTCTGTGTGCAAATCTACACTCTAATTTAGGGAGAAAAAGAATGAGCTCACTACATATCTCTGTGAGATTGTCAGCCACTGCTGTAGTAGAAAAGCGGAGTCAAACAGAAGCAAATCTGTTGTACTTTTCAGAGAGCTTACCCACATTTTCTTGAAAGCAAATTCTAAGCAGTGCCAGTGGAAGCAGGACACACAGTGAAGAACCTAAAAATACAGTTTCTATTCACCTTTTGATTGATCCTTGATCCTGCTGGGCTTACTGGAAGGATGACTTCCTTGAAAAAGCAGGTGCCTGAGATGTCCTCATGTCCATAAGATGCTGAAGGTGCTGGAGCCCAGCAGGAGGGAACCTTTCCCACAGCGTATGGGGCACAAGGCCGTGAGCCCACAGAAGCCTGGCCAGAACCCCAGGGAGCTGACCTCATAGTGGGGTACAGCACCTCCCACCCCCACAAGGGAGCCCTGAGGTTAAAAAAAGCCACATGCTCTTTTCCCCTAGTCCAGCAAAAAAAGAATCTATGGGACTTGCTGATATCGCTGGCAGTTGTGTAGCATATTTTTCTACTAGTCAGCAGACATCCCTGGGAGAAAGCAGTTGTGGTCGTCATGGTAACGCTTTGCCCGAGCCGAATATTGCCACAGTGAGAGACCCAGCCTCTGTGTGGAGCGGGCAACCTGCAAAAGCTCAGCAAGCTCTCTCTCTCCAGTGACAAGGCGCTCGTCAAGGATGCTCATGGTGGAGGTGTTCCCACCACATCCCTCGTGTATTCCCTCCCTGCTCTGCGTGTGGACGCAGAATGAAGAATTAAATCTGCATAGTGCAGACGTGTTCTACATAAGCACAACCCCAATGAAGAAGGCAGCCAAAACGAGGCACTGCTAAGCAACCAACTGCCTCATGTGGCTGCTGAAGCTGTCAGTAAACATCACCTGCTTCCTTCTATCACAAATCAAAGACAGGGACAAGATTTAAATTATTTCCGTTTATTTCTCACAGCATCTATTAAACAGTGAAAAAGTCTCACAGCAATTCAGATTGTTCAGAGTTTTATTTCCAACCCTCCCCCGGACCGCCGCCGTCCCGGCAACCCCCGCGCGTGCCAGAAAGGCAGCGAGATCATAGAGTTGGCGCCGTGCTGCGCTTGTGCTTTTACGACAGTCGTGCTTTACGGCGGTCGTGCTTTACCGCGGCGCGCCACTCCGTCCCCGTTCAAGATGGCGGCGCAGCAGCGGCAGGCAGCGCGGTGGTGGTAGAGGCCGCGGCGGCGGGAGGGAGCTGAGCTGCCTCGCCTTACCCCGCCGGGCCGAGTGGTGAGAGACAAGGGATGGAGCTGGGATGGGGATGGGGATGGGGATGGGGATGGGGATGGGGATGGGGAAAGGGAAAGGGAAAGGGAAAGGGAAAGGGAAAGGGAAAGGGAAAGGGAAAGGAAGCGGGGGGATGAAGGCGGTTGGCGCTGCTGCCTTCTTCCTTTCCCCCAACATCCCTCGAGGTGGGGAGGCCTTCGTGTGCTTCATTGGAGACTTTATGCCTCTCTCCCCAGTGCTCACGAAGCATACGTTGGGTCGGTTGATTTTTCCCTCCTCCTTCACCGGTTATCTTATGCGGGCCCTCCTTTTTGCCCTAAAAGGATTTGGGATCAAGGTTTGAGAACGTTTTTCTCTTTGAGAAAGGCAATGCCTCTGACTGTAGTTCAGCCATTACAGTTGACTGTAAGTTAAAGAAGTGCCCAAAGATGGGAAAGAACTCTTTATTAGAATAATCTTTCCTTTCTGGTCATTGTGATGCAGTTTAAAACAGATGCAGATTGAGATGGCATAAGGCTAGTGGTCTGTGAGGAGAAAAAGAATGTGTACAGAGTGCTTCTTGACGGATGTGGTGGTTGATGATTGGTCGGGGAGAAGTCAAGGGCAACCTAGAAGTCTGGGAGGAAAAAGGATATATGTGGGAAACATTTGAAGTAGAGGTATCTTAGGCGATTAAGTGGAAAGCTAGAAAGGCTCTGACATGCTTATGTTATGGAAGGATGCAATAAGATACAAATTTATTTTTTTTAAAGCAAGAAGCTTCCCAGTTCAAGTCATGAGGTGAAGAACAAACTGACTTGTTTAAAGTCTGCACTTAAAGTAGTTGTAAGTAAGTAGTTAAGTGGTACTTAATTAAAATAGGATGGTTTTGATGTGAATGCCTGAACTTGTATAGGATTTGATGATCTTACTTGAGGTTTTCTTTGGTTTGTCAACCTACTAATACAAAGAGGACGAATAAGCACACGTGTCCTACTTATGCATAGGACCTGAAATTATGGTTATCTTTTCCAGGTCTTTTTCAGTTGTTTTATTTTGAAGCAGAAGAAAAAAAGCCAAAATGGGGCGGAGATCTACATCATCCACCAAGAGTGGGAAATTCATGAATCCCACAGATCAGGCTCGTAAGTACCCATAAAAACTAAGCAAAAGGGAATGGGGAGTCCCAGGCAAGCAGATAAAGACCTTTCTCAGAGGAGAAGATCATCCCTTCTGTCTGGGAACTGAGTTTCCCAAGCCCAAAAAGTACTGTTTCCATTTTGGCTGTAAAAATTTCCAAGAAGGCTACTAGCTTGCATGCTGTTGCTGTTCTGCACTATCTTTCCCTTAATTTTTACTGTAATTATCAGTGTTCTGTAGTTTTTATACTTAACTATTGGCTGAGCTGCTCCTTGAGGTGGAGGTAATCTATCTGAGGCTAGAATTTATGGAATGTCACATTTTGCAAAGGCTCAGTTTACAGGAGGGGGTTGTCTAATCTTTTCCTTTTTTGTAACATACTGCATTTTCAGTGCTACATAGAAACAGAAAAACCAGGCTTCCACTGTGAGCATTCTTTGTTTCAGATGCATGTTCAAAGCCTGCATATTTTTAAAAGGCATTGTTTCTTGTTGACGCTACATTTCAGCAGCAATCTTTTACAATTGCATGCATCACTGTGCCTTTTTTTTGTCTGTTATTCTTTCCAGTATAAAAACATTGCTGCTTCTAGAGGCCTGAAGACTGCTATGTTGCATTTTCTTTCTGTATGACACATACGACATAGATTTCTATTTCATATTGTGTTTGTCTATCAGTGGGAAGATGAGCTTTAAAATTTCCTTTTATTTAATGAAAAATTCAAAATGAATGAACTGTTGAGAAATAGTGCTTGTCCTGAAGAAGGAAAGGTTGTTTGCGGATTTGAGCCACTCTTTCAAGTTTTTTTTTCTCTCTTTCTTTTTCTTCCCTCTCTCTAGGAAAGGAAGCTCGGAAGAGGGAACTAAAAAAGGTACATAAAGAGATCTGGAACATTTACTTGGCATTCCCTGTGCTTTGCATGATGTTTGTGATTATAAAGGGCCATGAATGGTGAACAGTGTTTCAGTTGATCTTGTAAAATTTAGTTAGGAATATACTGTCCAAACAGTTAAGAAAACACAGGCAGAAATCTGGATTTGAGTTAAAACAAAACAAAAAACCTTTATGTATTTATTGGCATGATTCATTTTATTGTTTTTGTCAGTTGATTTATTTTACTGATTGTATGTGTCTTCATTGGAATGTATGAGTTACAGAACCATCTGTAAATAGTGAGATAGTGGAATTACAACTCCTAGAAGTTTTGAATATCTCTCCTGCTGATTTGTGCTGTGGTTAATGTGGCAAGGGCATTTGAAGGTCCTTTTTCCTTTTCTGTTGGATTGGGAGTGTTGACAGAGGATTATTTAGCAAAAAGCTTTTCTTTCTCCTGTGTCACTTTTCTGATCTCCTTGATTTCTGATCTTCTTAGAACAAAAAGCAACGAATGATGGTACGAGCTGCTGTACTGAAGATGAAAGACCCAAAGCAGATCATCCGGGACATGGAAAAATTGGATGAGATGGGTGAGCAGGGGAGGTACTGGGTGTTGTAGATAGCTGTCAAACACTGAATACTGAGTATGTAAGTGACTTATAATTGGTCTTGATGCAGAAGACTTCCTGAAAATAGGAACTGAAAGTGGTTTGAAGTTGTTTCATTAATCGTGGTTGTGGAGTAGAGTAACTTCTGAATCTTTGGCTTGCTTTTGCTGTCTTTGATTAGAGTTTAACCCAGTGCAGCAGCCACAGCTTAATGAAAAAGTGCTAAAGGATAAACGCAAGAAGCTCCGTGAGACTTTTGAGCGTATCTTACGGCTCTATGAGAAGGAGAATCCTGACATCTATAAAGAACTCCGCAAGTTGGAAGT